TTATGCAGCGACCGCTTCATATCAGGTTCTTAAACCAACGTTTCCTCAACTGTGTGTGGTATTTATTTTAAATGCTTTTGGGCTTCCTAAACTTATTTTGGCGTGGCTTTTTCTGTCTTATTACTCATAGCAGCAAGTAAACATCACGTAAAACGTTGCCTCGTGAGTTCTGCGTGCTGCCGTTTCCGTGTTTTATGATGACAGCAATTAACCGGCTAAGCTGTATTTAATTTTTAAGCAATGGTTGATCAATTGTCAGATCACACATAAAAAGCACTTTGGATTGCTATTATCTGTCTCACCGAGACTACTTACGTGTAAATCTGTTATTTGTCCGTCCATCCATCCATTTTCATCCGCGTATCCGGAGTCGGGTTGCGGGGGCAGTAGCGTGACTTCCCTCTCCCCAGCCGCCGGAGCCAGCTCCTCCGGGTAAATCCCAAGGGGTTCCCCGGTCAGGTCCGGTGTTGTGCCGGTAAGAAGCTCGTTCCGACAGCTTCTGGCGTCGGAGCGGGCAGTAGAGTCGAGAGTCCCAGACCTTCTCCCCAGCTCCTCCGGCCGGGGGAATCCCAAGGGGTTCCCCGGTCAGGTCCGGTGTTGTGCCGGTAAGAAGTCCGCTCCGACAGCTTCTGGCGTTTTTAAAAAGTATCCCAGGGGCACGGTAAGGGTCGGAGATGTTTAGTCTATTTAATTTCTGACTATATAAAACGATTTCTTCTGTTTTAAAGTGTGAAGTAAACTCCGACGAAGTAAAATCCAAGCGGATCCCGTTCATGTTCATGGTTACATCCGTGTTTGTTTACCTTTTTTGCATGCCAAAATGGTGTCCACTAACTGAGAGTCACGTGGGGTCCGGAGCTCTATATGAGGCTTCCAACTCAGTTTTTCATCTATAGTAATTCCTAAAAATTTATGTGTGTACTTGTTCAATTACAATACCATTTATTTTTATAATAATTTCATTGTTAATTTTCCTGTTTCCAAATATAATGTACTTTGTTTTGGTCACATTCATAGAAAGTTTATTCCTATCAAACCATCCTTTTAACACTGCCAGTTCTTTTTCCAACTAAATCAACAAGCTTGTTTAGGTCGTCACCAGAACAATAAAGGCTGGTGTCATCTGCATACAACAAATAATTTACTTCATCTAGAACCGCACATACATCATTAATATACATTATGAATAATTTAGGTCCCAAAATAGACCCTTGTGGGACTCCATGAGTAATTAACTCCTTTCTTGAATCAACATTATTGATATGCACAACCTGGTCTCTTTCACTAAGGTAGCTTGCCACCCAAGCATAAGCTGTGCCACGAATACCATATCTATGTAGCTTCTGAAGAAGTGTATGATCTATGACGTCAAAGGCCTTACTTAGGTCAATGAAGACACCCAAGGTATATTTATTTTCTTCCACTGCAGTTGTGATATCTTCAGTTAAGGCCATTACTGCCATCAGAGTGGATCTGTTTGATCGAAAACCAAACTGTTGTTCGTTCAACAAATTGAATTTAACAAAATCATCAAGTCTAGTGACAAACAATTTTTCTAAAATTTTAGGAAATTGCGAGAGAAGCGAAATCGGTCTATAATTTATGAATAAGTGTTTACTTCCATTTTTATAAATAGGGATTACATTTGCTGTTTTCATTTTACTTGGAAAAACACCAGTACAGAATAACAGATTGCAGATATATGTAAGGGGTGTGACGATGTGATTGATAATTTCCTTTACTAACCTCATATCTAAATTACTGCAATCAGTTGAACTTTTGTTTTCAAATTTATTGACAATATTTATTATTTCAATGTCTTCTACACCCCTTAAAAATAGCGAACTGGGGTTACAATTAGATATGGACTATGGATTTTTTTTTTCATTTTTACTTATAGGTGCTTTGATAGCACCAGCTAATAATGGTCCATCCTCAACAAAATAACGATTGAAAGCATTGGCAATTTCCTTGATCAGTTATTTCATGATCTTCTTTAATGAAATAGCTTGGGAGTGCATAAACTTTTTTCCCATTCCTAATTATACCATTTAATGTTTTCCACATTCCTCGTGTATTATTCTGGTGTTGTTCTAATAATTTTTTTTATTCATGCATATTATATTAATTTATTTTTATATGTCTTATATCTGTCTTCAGCACTTTTAGTTCTTTGTTTAAAATATATTCTGTAAAGATGATTTTTTTTTCTTACAAGCCTCAACTATGCCATATGTTATCCAGGGCTTTTTTATTTTAATTTTATTTTCAGTAATATATAGCTTCAATGGGCAGTGTTTATCATAGCATTTGGTTACTTTGAATAAGAAGGCATCATATGCAAGTTTGGGGTCCTCAGTACAAAAAACTTCATCCCACGTCTGAGCAGAAAGATCTGCCTTGTATGCAGCCAGGGCTTCGGGTGTTCTATGTCGAACCAATTTCTGTGTAATTGTTTCAGGATTTTGAGCATAATGTACTATTTGATGAAAAACACTAAATACCGGTAGATGGTCACTTATATCATTAACTAGTAATCCCGCTGTAATTTGTCTGGATATCTCATTAGTGAATACATTGTCGATCAAAGTGGCAGTTGTGGTTGTAATTTGAGTAGGTTTAAGGATAAGTGGGAGAAGGTTATTACTGTACATTGTTGTAATAAAATTAGATATTTGTAAGTTATCATGAGGGTTGAGAAGGTCAATGTTAAAGTCACCACATACAATATGAACCTTGTTTAAATTTACAAACAAGCTACTGACTTCCTGATTAAAAGTATTTAGACAGGATCCAGGTGTTCTATACAAAGAACTAACACAGGGTATCTGCAGGTTTAAGGGAGCCAAATTTAAGACTTTTTAAGACCTTTTTTAATGCCACTTTGACCAAATTTAAGCTCGTTGTCGTCTTCCTCCGCTTATCCGGGTCCGGGTCATGGGGGCAGCATACCAACTAGGGAGCTCCAGACCGTGCTCTCCCCGGCCACCTCCACCAGCTCCTCCGGCAGGACCCCAAGGCGTTCCCGGACCAGGTTGGAGATGTAACCTCTCCAATGTGTCCTGCGTCGACCCGGGGGCCTCCTGCCGGCAGGACATGCCCGAAACACCTCCCCAGGGAGGCGTCCAGGAGGCATCCTGACCAGATGCCCAAACCACCTCAACTGACTCCTTTCGATCCAGATCCAAATTTAAGCTATTTTTTAAATTAAATTTAAGCTATGATTTCCAGCTAATGCCTGGAACTGGTGCTAACCACGTCGCGAACGTGGGATTAACCATACATTTACCATTAAACTTGCACTTCTCCATGGAGCAAGCTCCCACTAGCTTAACCAGCTAAAGCCGGGCATACACTGTGCGACTTTTTCACTTTTTTGAGACGATTTTCCAGTCATACGAGAATCCACGACATCGGGGCGAGTTTTACGCTGAGCGGTTGTGTAGTGTACAGGGGGTTACGAGAGGTGATTAACACCACGTGACCAGCTGCCGATCAGCAGTCGTGAGGTCGCACGGACTTCTGGCGTGTTTAATATTTCGCTTGTCCCTCGTGAGGGTATCGCACTGTTGAAGCGGCGCTGCGAGCAGCTGCGACCCAAAAAGTATCAGAACCGCTCACGGCGCATGCGCAATCCTGCATCAACGCCGCTCGCTATTTCCCTAATAACACACGCTGTTCGTTTTTGTTTCTACACGTTTTTTTTACGCACAAAGAATGTCAAGAAAGTGTGTTTGTTGTGTTCATGTCAAATTAAACTGATCACAAAACACAGATTTACTTTCTTTATTTCATTTTCCTCATCCAACCCCCATAAACCCCTGTGTGTCCTCCTGCAGCACTCCCGAAGGACAACAGGCAAAACAAGACAAAAAAGTCTGACGTGTTGAGTAAAAACTGCTATTTTTAGCATATTTTTAGGGCTGACGTGTTGCTACCAGAAGTACAGTGTGAGCAGTCAGATCGCAACCGAGAACTTGGTCGTACAGTGTGAGCACATGACTCGTGAGATCTGCTCTGCGAGGAAGTCGTACAGTTTGAGCTGAAGCTGAACGCTGCGAGTGAAAAAGTCGCACAGTGTACGCCCGGCTTAATGTGCTCATCTAAAAATAGTCCCCTTTCACAACCAACTGAATGTGTACGGTTCCACTTGCGCCAACATCATACACAAAAAATGCTGAAGGCTAACTAGAAATTCACGAAAATGTCATAGAAATAAAATAATCAAGTTTATTGGGTCTTTGGTAATTTAAGACCTTTGGAAACAGTATTTAAGGATTATTTGTCATTTTTAAGGATTTTCAAGGCCTTAAATTTGGAAAAGTAAATTTAAGACTTTTTAAGGACCCGCGGATACCCTGTAACAATGATGGGTTTAGTTCCTTCAATAGCAATTTCAACACTGATACACTCCATAACCCCATCAATAATAATTGCCTTTTTGTCAGATGACTTACACTTCAGGTTTATATCCACATACAGTGCAACCCCACCGCCCTTTTTGTTGTTCCTATTTAAAGTAAAAAATTCATATCCCTCGATTTTCACGTAGGAACCCTTTTCATTGTCCAACCACGTATCTGAGACAGCAATAACAGAAAAATTTGGTAAGTGACTCAGATACTCTTTAACCTTATCATAGTTTTTATGCAAACTTCTACAACTGAAATGAATGACAGAGAAGGCTCCCACCATATTTATCTCTTTAAACTCCTCATCACTATAGTATTTACAATCATTCCATGGCTCTTTATTAAAATTACCATCAAAATCTAAATCCCTTCCAAAATCATTCATTTTGTGGTGCAAAGAGTCATAAACATTTTGAAGTTTTTTACCATGGAGTAAATAAGTGTCCTCCTAATAGTCAGAATCGGTAAGTAGTTCGTCCTCATTTCAAATGTTTGGAAATTACCAACCAAGTCCCAGTCATTAATCTCGAGATTTTTCTGTAATTATTAGCGTCATTTAAATTGCTCAAGATCTTTAAGAACTCTTACCATAACTACTTTAGCTTGTTCGGGTGTGGTCCCCTTCAGTTGGATGTAAACCTTGCAATTCCTCGTCCAGTTCATCTTTATCTTGTTGTTCTTCCTCAGGTTGCGGGCTTCATGTGCAATTTTGGCTGTTTTCTGCATAAGATGCTCATTCAAGTACACCTCAGAACCCTTCAACTTCTTCCCTTGCCTCATCAGTTCCATTTTACATTTCCTGTTTACAAGCTTCAAAACAATGGCAGGTTTGGACTTATCTTTCCTCGGAAGAGTATAGCAGGCAGCAATATTCCCAGCATCCAGATGTATATTCTTCCCAGCCAAGAAACGCACCACTTGCCCTTCCAACGACTGTGTCCTCTGGATCGGCATCTTCGTCAATATTTCTCCCTCCTGCTGCGGCTCTTGCGTATGAGCGAGGTTTAACACTCATCCCGGTAATTATCACGTCCTCCATTCGTGTATACTGCTCCAGGTTATCAATCCTTTTTTCAAGTTCCTCAATGATCTTGTCCCGTTCAATTATGGTCTTCTTTAGTAGCTTTACTTCCTCAAAAAGTTCTGTGAGCTTAAGCAGCTGTTGCGTTACCTTAGCCAGCTCCTCAGACATGCTGTTTATTGACTTACGGATGTCCTCCATATCGTATTCCGTCTGCAATACTCTCTTGGGTGGCATCTTTTGTCTTTCAGTGTTGTATTGTTTAATTTTGTTTCCTAACTCCTCTGTGAGAAAAAAAAGTTCCCCTTGAAGAGACAGAAAGGAGACAGAAAAGCAACACTCTCACAGGGTGCCGCCATCTTGGATTTCTACTCGTTACTACTACTACTACTAGTAGATATATATATCGTATATCAGAATTCAGCAAAAAGATATCGAGTTTTGGTCCATATCGCCCAGCCCTAGAATGAAACTAAAAGTACCAGTAATAATTTTTAGATCATTTTACTTATTTCCACTAATATCAACATCCATTGAAAAATAAATCCAAACTTTTTGATAATTAGTCTTTTTTCCCTCTTAATTTTAAAAACTAACAAAAACAAAATGGTGGTTTAGCAAAACTGATAACTAATCTCTTACAGCTGATGTTTAAGGGAGAGAAAACAAAATCAGTGACTTTGATCTCTGTTAAAAGTTAGTTTAAACTTAAAGTTCTGACTTTTTTCTCTTAGACGTCACAGAATAAATAATCAAGGCTTTAATTAGATTATTTCAACTGTTCTAAAGGGTTTGGCTATGAAACAACACAAGCACTGTGTCGGTGTTAAGAGTCGTATTATTGGGCTTTTGTAGCAGCAGCCTGTCTGATTACTAAGGAACCTGAGCAGCTTTAACCTTCAGTCTTTATTGTAACAGCAGCTCATCTCCTATTGGACCAGGATCACTCCGTCATTTCTTTTTAGTTTGAAGGTTCGTGAGCGGTGCGAGCTCCGGACCTGCGTCTTATTGACTTATACAAGATTTAAAGACGAAATCGGAGACAGTCAAAAATGTCGGACGGTATCTCAATTAGCAGGACCCGAGAAAAATAATGTAGATTCAGGACTGTCCCACGGAAAGCAGGAACCTTAGCCACCCTAACGGCAGCATAGCAGCCAATCAGGAAGGCTCAGAGCCTCAGAGCAGAGTCTGGAAAGGTGAGCAGGATCAAACCATTTTTGAGACGGAGGAAATTTGCTGTACTATTGTTTTTAAAACATAATATTTTGACCTACTGTATGCTTTTTATATCTTACTAATGTGTTAAAAACCACCACAAACAGTAAAAATAAATAGATGATTAAATGTCAAACTTTAGCAGTGCTTCAGCCCCCCCAAAAACAGGCTAGAAACGCCCATGCCTGGAATCAGTGGACAGACACATGAAATCATTGTCAACTTTACTGGTGAAGCAAGGAATTAGAAAGAAAAAGCTCCTTTAGATTCACATCAATTTAGTATTTGCTGACATTTTACCAGAGTTTTCTGTTTGTGACTAATCCAGCACGGAAAACCCTACGGCATTTTACTTTTATATCATAATAGTAATATAATATTTAGTAGAGTGGACCAACCTAACACATCAACACATGTTGGTGTTGGCTAAGCTCAAACTAGCCATAAGCTTATCAGTCCTGTCCAACGTAACTATTTCTTTGAACTGAGGCTGTTCAGGAAGCAGCTTTTATCCAGATACATTTAAAAAGAGCTAAAAATGTCTCTACATCTTGAACAAATGCTGCTGCTGTAGTGGTAGAGCTGCGGCGCTACGTGAAAGAATGTTCCTTCAGTGTTTTTGTCTGATTCTGATGCAAGAGACAGGTCCGGGATCAGGTTCTGCATAAACATGATGGTGGATAATGGGGAAGGGGGGTGTCCACTCCTACCAGCTGCAGCTAAACTGAACCGAGACCTCTCCTAACTATGTCCCACCCACACGTCCCACATGCAGGGTTGTGAGGTTTCCATTACAAAATGGGCTCAACCACCCAGAAAGGAAAGACTGGGATGAGGAAAGTGGTTCTGCTGGCCTTCTGTGAGCTCTGAGATTATAATCTAAAGGGAAAGCATATCTTTTTCTTCCTTCTTGGTGAGAATTTGGACACTAGGGTTCTGTCCTCATCATGTCTGTGCCTTCCAGCTCAGCCGTCCTCCTCCTCTTTCTAGTTGGCTTCACTACAGCAGGTAAGACAGCTGGGTGTGGTGTGCAGTGGGGTCAGAGGTCAGCTGGTTATCGGCTCACCAGAACCCTGGTGCTGAACTGGTCTGACTGGATTTTTGTTCATAGATGTGCAGAAATGAGGATGAACTATAATAATACATGCAAGACTGTCTTCTGGCTTTGTCCAGCACATCTGTTTCTAATAAGTCTACAGCTCTGCCTCCGCTTAGCTTTATGCGTAGAAACCACCTCCATCATCTCTGCTTCTAGCCTCTGTTCTCAGCTCAGTTTCCTACAAGTCTGTAGGATTACGGTTAAATTCCCACAGAAACTCCCTATAGCTTTGCATTCTTTCATGGTCAGACCTGGAGAAACAGCCAATCACTCTGACTCCAAACAGCAAAGACAGCTGGCTAAGAGACACACATACAGTTACAGACAGATGAACACTCACTTAAATGTAAAGCTTTAGCACCTTTAATTAGGTGAGAAGTTGACTGAAATAATGAAAACTGCTGTTAAACCGTTCTTATTTACTGAAATGGCTTTTCTTGCTGATAACATGTATAAATGAGTGTCTAATAGTGCTGTAGACATGTGTAGTCCTTATTTTGGCAGTTTAGTGCATCTCATTTAAAACAGAAAAATCAGCTGTCATGGTTTCTCCATCTTCAGATTATACCTCAGGTCTACACCGATTTTGAATCAGCCACAGATAATGGCTAAGATGCGCCGAGTGATGTTGTCTGTCCCGTATTACGTGGCTGCACTGGCCTCCAGCTGAGTCTCCTTCAGGTGCTTTTTAAACACACATAGTTCACAGCAGCACAGAGAGCCAAACAATGGTTAGTACGGAGGTGGAGGGCTGATGGTTTAGGTGTGAAAGTGAGGTTTTTGTTTAGTCGGTTTATATCACATTATTTTCATTGTGTTCTTATCGAGTTGATTATCTGGAATTTGGTTTATAAACCTCTTACAGCCTTCTTCTATTGTTGAATAGCTGCATGTACGTGCGTGTGTGTGTGGGTTGGGATAGTCTGGCTCAGTGACTTCATCATCTCCTGACAGCTCATAAGGAAAGACACTTTTGCCTTCTCACTGTTTGGTGACACAGGCTGATAACACACACACACACAACACACACACACACGGTTACACATTTATCACAAACATCAGAAACTGAGTTTCAGCTGGAAACATCACGATCCTAGATTAGAAAACAAACGGAGTTGTCACTCCCACTTCGTTGGGTATTGTAGCTGCAGCTAACCATAGCTCCTAACGTGCTAAATATGTCTAAAACTAGCTGTTAAATGCTGCATTTGGTTCAACGGCTTTGATTTATTTGAAGTATTGTGGTTGTAATGGTTTCTCATAACCAGTGACCTACATTCCTTAATGTTCCCAAAGCATCACTTGCTTAAGGATCCCTCTTCTTTGGTTTTGGCCGACGAAAAGCATCCATGAGAAGAGAAGTCAAAGTCAAGTCAAAGTCAGTTTAATTGTCACTTCTGCCACATGTACAGGACATACAGAGAAATGAAATTACGTTACTCTCAAACTCTCGCTAGATAGAAAATAAACATTTAGTATAAAAACAGTAACCAAGTTCAGAGAGACTGTGGGGGAAAAGAGAGGAGAGTTGGGAGAGCCGGGAGGGAGTTTAGCTTCCTAACTGCCTGATGGATAAAGCTGTCCTTCAGTCTGTTGGTCCTGGCCTTGAGACTCCGCAGTCTCCTCCCTGACGGCAGCAGCTCGAAGAGGCTTTGCATTGGGTGAGTGGGATCAGCCGCAATGCGAAGGGCCTTTTTTGTGAGGCGGGCGCTGTAAATGTCTGGTAGTGACGGGAGAGAGACCCCGATGACCTTCTCTGCTGCTCTCACTATACGTTGGAGGGTTTTAATGCATGAAACGTTGCAGGCTCCGAACCACACAGTGATGCCGCACGACAGGATGCTCTCGATGGTGCCTCTGTAGAAAGTGTACATGATGGGGGCTGGTGCTCTTGCTCTTCTTAGTTTGCGGAGGAAGAAGAGACGCTGCTGTGATTTCCTCGCCAATGCTATGGTGTTGTTCGTCCAGGAGAGATCCTCTGTAATGTGCACACCCAGGAACTTGGTGCTGCTCACTCTCTCCACAGACACACCGTTGATGGTCAGCGGAGCATGCTGAGTGTGTGCTCTCCTGAAGTCCACAACAATCTCCTTGGTCTTCACCACATTTAGAGAGAGGTTGTTGTCAGCACACCATGTGGTAAGGCGGCTCACCTCGGTCCTGTAGTCGGTCTCATCCCCGTTGTTTATGAGACCCACCACTGTTGTGTCATCCGCAAACTTGATGAAGAGGTTAGAGCTGTGTAATGGTGTACAGTCGTGGGTCAGCAGAGTGAAGAGGAGGGGACTCAGCACACATCCCTGGGGGGCCCCCGTGTTTGAAATGATGGTGCTGGATATGTTTCTACCAACCCGTACTGCTTGTGGTCTTCCAGTGAGGAAGTCCAACAGCCAGTTACACAGTGAGGTGTTAAGACCCAGCTGGACCAGTTTTTGAGAAAGCTGTTGGGGGATGGTGGTGTTGAATGCTGAACTAAAGTCTATGAACAGCATCCGGACATATGAGTCTTTTTTTGTCCAGATGTGTGAGTGCTGAGTGGAGTGCAGTGGAGATGGCGTCATCGGTCGAGCGGTTGGGCCGGTATGCAAACTGGAAGGGGTCCAGGCAGGGGGGCAGAACAGACTTGATGTGTTGCATGACTAACCGTTCGAAGCACTTCATAAGGATGGGAGTAAGTGCAACAGGACGGTAGTCATTAAAGCAGGAGGGAGATGATGTTTTTGGGACCGGAATAATTGATGTGGCTTTAAAGCACGTGGGGACGACAGCCTGGATAAGTGACGTGTTGAAGATGTCTGTGAAGACATCAGTTAGTTCCACTGCACAGTCTCCCAGTGCCCGGCCAGGAATATTATCAGGACCCGGAGCTTTATGTGCATTGATCCTGCTAAGGGATCTCCTTACGCTGTCTGGGGACAGAGTCATCACCTGGTCACCAGGAGGCGGTGGAATCTTCTGTGCTGTGGTTCCGTTTTGCACTTCAAAGCGAGCAAAAAAGGTGTTCAGCTCGTTCAGCAGGGGGATGGAGCTATCACAGGTCCGTGGAGGGGGCTTGTAATCTGTGATGGTCTGAATGCCCCGCCATAAGCTTCGTGTGTCTCTGCTGTCTTTGAAGTGTTGGGATATTTTCCAAGAGTACTGTCTCTTAGCCTCTCTGATACCACGGGAAAGGTTGGCCCTAGCTGTCCTCAGTCTCATCTCGTCTCCTTTCCTGAACGCAATATCCTGCTCCTTCAGCAGCCTGTGGACCTCTCCTGTCATCCATGGTTTTTGATTTGCACGGACAGTTATGGTTTTAGTTATTGTTACATCCTCAATGCATTTCTTGATGTAGGCTGTAACAGTCTCTGCATACTCCTGGAGATCAGTGGAGTTATTGTAGGTGGCAGCCTGCTTAAACATGTTCCAGTCCGTGGAGCTAAAACAGTCCTGTAAAGCCTCCGAAGACCCTTCTGGCCACACTTGTATTTGCTTACAAACCGGTTTGGTGACTTTAACGAGCGGTCTGTAAGCAGGCATTAGCATGACAGTAATGTGGTCTGAGGCACCAAGGTGGGGGAGGGGGAAAGCTTTGTAAGCTCCTCTCTGGGTGGTGTAAACACAGTCCAACGTGTTATTTCCTCTTGTTGGAAAGTCAATGTGTTGCTGTATTTTTGGAAACATGCACTTTAGGTCTGCATGGTTGAAATCCCCATCCAAGATGAGAAAGGCATCAGGATGGGCTGTCTGCTGCTCACTGATGCGCTGGTACAGTTCATTCAGTGCCACACTCCTGTTGTTGTCATTGGAGGAGGGAGGGATGTACACAGAACACAGTAGTATGGCTGAGTATTCCCTCGGTAGATAGAATGGCCGACACTTAATAACCATAAGCTCCAGTGCAGGCGAGCAGTGTTTGCAGACCGCGACAGCATTGTGACACCAGGCGTCATTGATGTAAACACAGAGTCCACCCCCGCGGGCCTTACCTCCCCCGACAATATCTCGGTCAGCACGGAAGCAGGTTAGCTGGTCGAGCTGAATGTCACGGTCCGGGACACTGTCACTGAGCCATGTTTCCATCAATATAAAAACACAACAGTCTTTTACATTCCTCTGAGATGAACGTAGTAATCGAATGTCGTCCAGTTTATTTCCTAGCGAGCGTACGTTGGCCAGGACGATGGAGGGGATAGCGGGTTTATGTGGGCTAGCTACTAGCCTAGCTCGGATGCCGCCGCGCTTTCCTCTCTTCTGCTTTCTCTCACGTCGCTTGAGGCGCCTCCATTGTGGGCGAGGAGCAGGAGTGGCAGTCGGTGATTTAATAGTCCTCCGGAGCAGACCCAGATTTCTCAGCTCTACGGCGTCCACAGAGTTTAACTTAAAAACATTGTTCCTGCCGATGTCGAGCAAAGATGTTCGGTCGTATACACACTTGCAGACAGATAGGCGTGACATGGACATACCGAAAAAAAAAAAATTAAAAAAAAAAAAAATTAAAAAGAGGAAAAGGAAAAAAAAAGTTTGGGAGAGAGAAGCCGCTGCGTGTGCACGCGCCGCCAGTGTCTGGTGTGACACAGCAGGCAGGCAGATGAAAAGCCAGATTAACTCCTTTTATCCGTAGAGCTCAATAACACGCTGGCAAGCATCATCTATCAGACCTGCAGACCACGAGTCTCAGTAGCAGAATTAAAATTCGACTTGTTTAAAGGTTTTTTGATTATCAATAGAAGTTTAGCCTGTCATCAAGGTGTTAGAAAATGGAAACAGGCTTCGTCACATGCGTGGCGTCTTCAAACAGACACATAGTTAGAATAAGAACTGTGAGGCGGAAATGCATAAAGCATCTGGCCTGAAGTGAGTTTACACCAAGAGCCATTTCACACTTCTTGTTTTAGGCTTTACACCAGCAGACTCCTGCTGTTTGCACGTCAGACTTTCAGACTAAACTACGGTTAAAAACTTTCTTCAGGCTGGAAACAAAAGAATAACTTTAAATGTTTACTCATATATTTACAGGGTATATACAGCAATCCTTAAGTAAAATTTACTACTTTTTAATACTTTTTTACTACCTTCAGAATTTTTTTTAAAACCATCACAACACTAAATTGCATGTGTTAATTAGCGACCTATTTACACATATTTTAACATATATAACATACAAAAAGAATAGACTTAGAGACTCACTGATGTTGACAACGTATTGCACATATTTATTTTACTTAGAAAATAAGCCAGGCACTTCTGTTCAGCGGTTCAGACAGTTGACTACGAGGCCTGAAATGATGCAGAACGACCACTGAATATGACGTCATCATTATGTGACCGGATATGCTAAAGTAGGGCTGCTCGATTATGGCAAAAACAATAATCACGATTATTGTGACTGAAATTGAGATCTCGATTATTTAAGACGATTTTTCAATTCATGTAGATTTTTTTTTTTTTTTTTTTATTCAGTCATAAAACTGCTCAGGGCACAATCAGGGCAAAAATAAACAAGAAACAAGATGATCACTAAAATAACTCCTGATTCCCAGTATAAAAAGACCAATATACTTATAGCTCATAGTTTATGACCCAAGGGCTATAGACCTTGGTTTAACTCATTTAAGTCTAACCAGTACAGACCCAAATACCAATATCTTGCAAATACTGACAGCAAGAATTATACAGTGGCATTTATAACAAATACATGCAAATTGCTGTTCACTAAATGTTGCATAGCATTTATTGAGTCATGTCAAGGTGCTGTAGGAGAGTGCACTAGCACCGTGTCCTCAGAGAGATTAGTTATTATTTATCAGCGTGAGGAACTTATTTCTACCTTATTTATAAACTATTTATTTACAAGTCCATCAGTTAATGTAATAATTGCCCCAACCACAGCTGCACCCCCACACCCAACCCGGTCTCACAGCAATCAGGGGCAAGCTGCACGTGTGTTTAGCACGCCGCACGCGCACATTTAGCCGTTTTTAGCGGCTCAGGAGTCCGCAGGTGCGGTGTGTGTGTCACTCACTCTGGTTACTCCAACAGGGAGCCGGCTCTGAGAGCCGTTTCTTTAGAGACTGACACATCACTACATCATTCCCTTTCCTAATGTCCTGAAGAACGGTCCGGAGTGCAGGCGGAGTGTTTAGCTAACCTGCAGGAAATGTTGACGACAGTTATCCAGAAAGTAGCTAAGGGTTACCAGAGATGTTTCTGAGGTGTTCGCTAGGTACTTTTAAGATTTAAAAAGTCAAGAAGGGGGTCTGAGAAGCTGTTAGAAATAGCGTCAAAGTCGTCAAGTTGGCAACACTGTGGAGGAGCGCTTCATTTGCAACTCAGGGCAGCGCAAGTGGGAGGAGCAAATAATCAGCTTGTTTTGTTTTTATAATCGTTCAAAACATTTCATTCGGAATATATTTCTATGTCGATGTTCAGAATACGACATCTGATAGTCTGAAAAAAATAATACCTAATTTGGAAAAAATAATACCTCTGAGACCAAATTTAACACTTTTAATGGCCTTAAATTTGACTATTTTTATTTATCACTTTTTAATGCTTTTTAAAACCCCGCGGACACCCTGATTTAACATCTATTGTTTTTTGACTGATTAAAATAAAAAGACAATAAAACGTCTACTAATAACGACTAATCTGCACGATTCATGTCAGCACTCCTTAAGGGTCCATTTCATCAGGGAACAGGTGTTTTCATGCAGCAGATATGGAAACGGGACAGGAAAAAAGTCTTGTTCATGTCGCATGATGGAAAAATACTGGTTTATTTTATCTGTTCTGAGTCTTCAGCCACTGAAAAGTACTCATAGTACATTTTACTTAGAAAATGTGAAGTTTCAACTCTTCTCTGGGGGCTGTTTAACGCTGCGCTATGTAGTATTTTTGTTAAAACTGTTCTTTTCATCTCCTGACCATAGGATTAATTCTGGTACATTTAGCCGTGATTGCATGTAGAGGTAGCACGTTGTGGCCGGTACCACCCGGTGTGACTGTGCTCCATGACACATGCGCGTTCACGAGGAGGCCTTGTTCTCCTTCTGTTGGCTGCTAGAGAAGCTCTGCTAGCGACTGGAAACGTACATTTTAAGATAAATCCTGCCATAAATATCCATATACTAACTGGCCTGTATTTAGCACCTTCCAGGGTTCTACAACCCCCCAAGGTGCTTTACAACACACAATCAGTCATTCACCTCCACACACATTGGTTGTGGTGAACAACACTGCAGCCACAGCGGCCTCGGACACACCGAGAGGTGAGACTGCTGAACACAGGCACCACCGGTCCCTCCGACCACCAACAGCAGCAGGCAAAGTGGGGAAAGTACCTTGCTCAAGGACACGTCTGAGACAGACAGGACTCCAACCTGCAAACCCTCGGTTAAGAGGCGGGCCACAGTCTCCTGTATATAAATAATTGAATCGAATCCTACAGGAATCCATTCCTTGTTTTCCAGATCTGTCCCAGACCGCTCCTCCTCGTGGTTCTGGCAGGGTTTGGGCACTCCTACGTGGCACTAAAGCCGGATAATTCCAGCCTGAACCTCTGCATTTGTGAGGCAGCATGTTCTCCTGGTTCTGTCCAGAGTCGTGCAACACAGGCGGCCTGCACTGCTGCACATCATGCCTGGTACTACGCTCCGGGGCTTTGAATATTTTGAGAACCATCGTTTGAGAAGAGGTTGAAATCTAACCTGGATGGTCTTCCTGACAATTAGGACAGAGTGTTCTATGCCAACGGAGCAATGATGCGACAGCTGTGGGGGGTGTGGCTAAAGAGCGGCTGGGACACAAAAACATTCAGAACTTTGCGTTTTCAGTCCAACATAAACTACATCCTGAGAAAGGAATGCAGCGGGACATTTAGGAGGAGCTCGGAAAAGTCTGTATTAAAGCTGTTGGGACAATGATTAGGACCATATGGACATTCTGGACATGGAGCTGTTTCAACATCTGAGGCCGTTTGCCAAGAAACAAAATCTGAACCTGATCCAGGATCAGAGTGGAGTCAGACGAAAGTTAAACTAGGACTTCTGGAGAAGGAGTCAGAACCAGAACCGCTGACACTGGTTAGAAGAGGATGCAGACGGTTTGGTGTTAAGAACGGTTTTCTGAATTATCGCACGACCCTTCACACGGTCAGTTTTTGTGAAAAAAAACACAAGAATATTTTTATTTATTCAACATCAATGTGAAACAAACACGATGCATGTTTTGTATTTTGTTTTCATGAAACATTTTAATCTGGATGTGTTTCCTCTCAGACCCCCCATAAGAAACCTTATGTTCTGTTTTCAGGGTTGGAATTGGACCGACAACCTCGAGCGGTGCATCCGAGTGCCTGTCAGGAGCACATAAACCTTCACAGACGTTTGGACGCTGTAGAGAAGGTGGAGCATTGAATGTGAAATAAAATGAACAACTAAATGGGACCACTTTTGGTTTCAAACATCAAAGTTAATTTAAATATTTAGAATTTAATCTAAAACTAAAATGCTTAAACAAAGAATTAAAATCTGATTAGAAAGGCATTTACTGTTCAATGATCAGGTGCAATAACATTTATATGTGCTATTTGTGCTAACGCAATATGCTAAAATTCTTCTTACAATAGTGACCTGCACAGAACCCAACAAATGCTGCTACTCTGTGTGTATATTTGCACATATTACTGTAGATTTGACATTTATACATCTGTATTATTATTTTTCTGTATTCTTTTACATTTTGCACCAAAGGGAGTGGCACTCCAATTTTGCTGTACCCTTTACAACCACAATAAAGGCTATTCTATTTATAGATTAGCAGGGGGGGGGGGGGGGGGGGAAATAGGGGCTGGGTGGCCTTTTATTAACCATGTCAAGGGTCATTTAAGCACAAGCTGGCTCAAGAAAGTGATTAAAACTATGAACAAGTTGTAAAGTATGGCTTTAATGACTGACTTCAGGATTGGTCCCAATACACCAGTGGTTTGAAATCAGGGTGATTGGACTTTTTGTTCACTGCTGTTATGTAACTTTGTTCCTTTAAAAGGATTTTAAAAAATAATAAAAACTTGCAACGTCTCCTTTTAATTATTAGATCTCAACACAAATGAATAATTAAAATGACAAACAAGAGAATTTGGATTTTTTTCTGTACGACACAGACACCTTACTCCCATCGGACAAATATTTCCCCTAACCCAGTCTTAGTGGCAGTTTGTGTTGTTTCACTTAAATGATGGTGTTATTCATGGGTGAATATTCTATTATTCATATTACAACTTACTGTAAATTAGGAATACGCCCACCAAACAACCAGTCTGCCCTTTTCTGTCGTCTGCAGAAAGTGGAGGACACAGTCGAGAAATTGGACGTTCAGCTGGCTGCTCTTGTGGACGCTATTGAGACATCGGAGTGGCGCCCTCTGTTGGACACCACAGGACAGACTAACGTGGACATCCTAGAGGATCCAGAGCAGAGAGAACAGTCTTGAGACACTCATGACAACAATACTCACTTTTATTGAAACTTTGAAACTAAATTTGGGTTGTGTTGCAAGATGAGATGAAAGTGCAACTTCACTTTATCCAGTCATTATTGTGCTTAAATGGCTTGTAGTCTGATATTAAATGTCATTAAAGCAAATATTTCAGTGAAAAGTGAATACTTTAAAAATGGGCAAGTGTATGTATGTTTCGGAGGACATTCCTGAAGAGGTTCTGGCAACAGGAAATGAAATAAGAATAAATTATAAATTATTTCAGACATACAACACTTCAGGGTAAATATCAACATTTGTACATCAGTACATGATTTAAGCTATTAGCAGTTTTTACAAATGAGTCATAAGATTTCAGTGTGACTCCAAATGGAAATGTGCAGATTTTCAGTTAAACATCATCATTATCCTTGCAGGTGCCACTTCTCTAGCCTTTGGGGTTTTAGCATGTTCATGTAGCAAACTGACCTATACAGAACTTAGCTAACATACATCAACTTGTATCATAACAAGCAGCAGGAGAGGAGACAAGCTGGAACTATCTCCCCCTGAGCCTGAGATCAGTGGTCTCCTTTAAAAAAGAAGCTTAAGACTCACCTGTTCAGGTAGGCTTTGGTGGGACCTTCACCACCTCCCTCTCCTTATTCTGCATTTTCTGCAATCCACTGACTAATTTTCTCTTATTTGTTTTTTTTCCCTTTCCTCACATATTTACCATTTTCATTTTTATTTTTTCGTTCTTGTGAAGCGCCTCGTGATCTTGAGAGGCACTGTATAATGTTCCTTCTACTAAAAAACGGCTAGCAAGTGCTCGCCATGCTAATTAGCTTGGCTTCCATGTTAAGCCGGGCATACACTGTGCGACTTTTTCACTTTTTGTGCCGATTTTCCAGTCGTGCAAGAATCTACGACATCGGGGCGAGTTTTACGCTGAGCGGTCGTGTAGTGTACAGGGGGTTACGAGGCGATTAACACCACGTGACCAGCTGCCGATCAGCAGTCATGAGGTCGCACGGACTTCTGGCGTGTTTAATATTTCGCTTGTCCCTCGTGAGGGTATCGCACTGTTGAAGCGGCGCTGCAGCAGCTGCGACCCAAAAAGTATCAGAACCGCTCACGGCGCATGCGCAATCCTGCATCAACGCCGCTCGCTATTTCCCTAATAATACACGCTGTTCGTTTTTGTTTCTACACGTTTTTTTTACTCACAAAGAATGTTAAGAAAGCGTGTTTGTCGTGTTCATGTCAAATTAAACTGATCACAAAACACAGATTTACTTTCTTTATTTCGTTTTCCTCATCCAACCCCCATAAATCCCTGTGTGTCCTCCTGCAGCACTCCCGAAGGACAACAGGCAAAACAAGACAAAAAAGTCTGACGTGTTGAGTAAAAACTGCTATTTTTAGCATATTTTTAGGGCTGACATGTTGCTACCAGACATACAGTGTGAGCAGTCAGGTCGCATCTGAGAACTGGGTCGTACAGTGTGAGCACATGACTCGTGAGATCTGCTCTGCGAGGAAGTCGTACAGTTTGAGCTGAAGCTGAACTCTGCGAGTGAAAAAGTCGCACAGTGTACGCCCGGCTTTAGCTGTGCAGAGTCTGTTGCTTACCAGAATAAAAAGATCATGTTGTTTGTAAAGTAGAAGCAACCTGGACCTTACCTTGTAGCGACACCCTCACTAGGCGGTTAGCTCTCCTCCAGACTTAGCAAGCCCTGCTAGGCGCAGAAAAGCGCCAAAATGAGACGGACCGTTGGGGTTACGTCGGGGGCGGAGCTTCCAGACGTTACCGCGTTCTCATTGGCTCAGCATCTCCACCAGCGCCATCTAGAGACCAGACTCAACTGACCACCCCAACCTAGCTGCAGACCCTCTCCAAACACGCCCCCGGCCAAACACGCCCCCATGTGCCTGTTGAGCTCCTCTCGTTGAGCTACCCCCGAGCTCAATAACGGCGGCCCTCCCAGCGGGCGGGGAGCATCCCGCTGTCAGCTCCAGCAGCTCCAAACACGTTTATACAGAAATAGTAATATTGTAATTAAACAGACAGGACTCCAGGTTTAAATATGAACGTATGGATTTTTTTCTTGCATAAACACTTTATGGCCATCCCCAGTGAGATTATAAAACACAGAAGCCACCAACAAATAATCAGTTGCCGGACAATAGGCACAACATACCTATGCTTACTTAAGTTAGCAGGTGAGTAATGTATGTGCATTTTAAATGCAATTAAATATCAGAAAAAGTAATTAGTGGTAATCGTTTTAATTAACCCCTTAAGCCCACTACCCTCCATTTTTGGGAGCACGCCTCCTACAGCAACATTTAACTTTCAACCATTTGTTATTACAGGCACTAACAGTGGGTCTAAGTTCATACGAGTGTGTAGTTAATATTTATGTTACTATTTATGATTTTTATTGCTTCTTTACAGTGAAAAGCTGCTAATGTGTAATTTTTAGGCATATTTACATGTGTATATATGCATTTCATATATTCTGTTAACAGGAATAATTGCTGGCCCTTTGACACAAAATGTATTGATTTAGAAATTACTAAAATATTTTGCATTAAGTATACAATTCACAAGACTAGTAAACTGATATTGACCATACACTAATCTGTAAAGAATATACTGTAAACACAAAAGCAGAATAGTTTGGCTTTAGAAAAAAAGTTCAGACAAATGAAACAACCAGCAACAGCTTTTATTGGCCTTACAAAAACCTTCCAATAAATAAATAAATGTCCACGCAATGCTATGCCTCTTCAAAAATTCAGATGAGTCCAGAGCTTTTCTGAATTTCTCCGAGTATATGAGCAGTTCCATGGCATAGGACATCAGCTGCCTCTCACTAATGAGACAAAGATAAATAGCAATTAGTAAAAATGACATTTACACCTAGAGGCTGTCATAAACAATGTGAAAACAATACATATAGGCATTAGCACTGTTCTTGTGTTTGTAGAATACCTCCGGGCTACCACATTGCCGTCGTGAGTTTGCTGCTTATTAGATGAGGAGTCATAAACGGTCAAATAAATAGCCTATTGTTACATTTATTTTGGCCAAAAGGCTTGCATGTAGCCCATTAAAAATTATATTTAAAAAAATTTGTGTCCATGACGTCTTCACCCACTGCCAATAATGCTTAATTTTATATAAGTGTTTCAGAAAAAAAATAAGAATGCGCTATCTATCAAACTATGTCATAAACGTTCAAATTTCTAGTACAAAATCTTCGCAAGTTGTAAAAATATAAACCTGTCTTTACCTGAACCGTCATTTCCATCTGTTGCAACACGCATGCGCGTTCTCGTCTTCGTACATGCACGCGTGTTTTGTACATAGGGGCGTGTTTGGCCGGGGCTGCGGCCGCAGCCAGATCCTTTTGGACTCACCCCAGCTGGCAGCAGTCACAGGCAGGTGTGTCCATTTTCAACCAACACGTGATTTTAGCCGCCATCTTGGAACGGGGGTAAAGCCAGTCAGGCTGTTGCACAAAAAATGCAGTTACAAAGAAAATATTTAGAATTTAGTTAAAAAATTTCAATCCCTTTTTTTGTGAAATAATTACAGAAAATCAATATAAGGGAACAAAGAATTGCTGTTTTCAGCACATAGTAGAAATATACTCAAATAGAGTGAATTTTGGCTGATATATTAAAAGATAATTTAATAAAAAGATTAAACTTTGATATGAGACACATTTTTATCTTCAATTACTCACATATATGTGAAAAAGCATTCCAATATATCATTGGTAGTCTCAACATGTATGGAAAACTTTGGCACTAGATAACAAAAAGACAAGAACTTTGCTCTTTAGAAGCATAATAATAAAGAGCACCTAAAGAAATGTGCACGGTATTTTATTCTGTATTTCTAAATAAATGATGAATCTTTGAAAAGGACGGTGTTTTGCACAAAGCAACCTTTTTCTGCATTATTTATTCTTTGCCTCTCTGTGACACCATCTCTTTTCCAGCCTGTGAACTGGTCCAAAATTCTGCTTCCTGGAGCTGAAACTGGCACGGTTCATGTGTGCACGGCTGCTCGGAGAGCTGGATGACAGAAATACTCACCCCCTTTAGCACTGTCAGTGAAAATAACACACACAGAGACAAATCTTTGGAAGGAGGTTTATTTCTTTATCAAAGCAATTAAAGCAGCATGTTTATTTAACACAGAATGGTTTAGATACAGAAACAAGGCTCTTCACTGATTGGCTGTAAAAGTCCTGCAGAAGGACATGACCGGATCCCTCGATTCAGTTTTGATCACATCGTCTTCTTGATTTGTTTTCTGGACAGGGCACTGAAGACAAAAACAGTCAGGGACATCTGGACAGACAGGACTCAGAGTAGTTTGCTGGGAGACATGCTGTTGCTGGTTAAACACCTAAGGGCATCCATAATGTTAAAATAAACACAATGCACTGGCTTGCAAGCACTAGAATGATAGAGATCAACCAAAAAAATGTACAAAACTGAGATAAAAGAGAAAAACAGCACGTAAAATAACCATTAAAATCATCTGTTTTCATTTACAAATGGTGAACAGATAATTACATCTGATTAAACTCTCCAAATGCTCACATTTTTTTGTTCTCCTTATTTTATTCAAGCAGCAAATTATGAGGTTTGGTGAGAATTTACCCCAATTGTAAATATTTATCCTCTGCTGCAAAAAAAACCCAAAACAGCAACACTTAATTCACAACAGAGGTGAACCCAACTCCTCTCATCCACACGGTCACAAAGTCGTGCCCTTAAACGAACCAACAGGATGCCAAGAAGTCGTCGTCTAAGAATATCATGCTGTCCATGGAACACTGGGATTATATGACTGGTACAACCTAAGGTTCACAAAACTCACTGCCAGGCAAGTAAGTTTTCATCGAGGTGAGCACTGAGGTACACTGTTACCAAAAGCTTCTGCATGCAAAAATCAGCCAGTAAGGCTCAAGCTCCAGGCTTTGGAAAAATCAGGCTTATTCTGTAAAGGTACATGCAACAAACAAACCCGACAAAACAAAAAACGGCTTCAAAACCAGGAGATTTGTTTTTGGCAGAGTCGGAAGCTTTCACTTGAACCAAATCTCTAAATCTAATCAGGATTGTAAAGTTGAAAGACATTGTTCCACATTTTATTAACCAGATGTAACATATTTTCCTTCTGATAAAGACCTCAGGAGATTTACACCAGCCTCAGATATGTGCATTAATGAGAAGCTCCAGCTGGTGGGAAGAAGTCAGCCAGAAAAACACCAATATTATCTAGACTCCAAAAGGTGGGACCATCAGCGATGAAAGCATCACCATGGTAACCAACCCTGAAGTCATTATCTCACTGGGCTGAGACCAGCTGCAAACTGGGAGGAAAAAAACACAGAATCGGTTGGAAAATGTAAAAACAAACAAAAAAATACAATGTCATGCAATTTTTTTTGTCACAATTGGATCACAAAGTGATCTCATTTTGACACTATTTGGTTGCCAACCTCTCCCAGTCTCACATTTGTGACCAGTTTGAGGAGAGACCAAGAGGACTTTCTGATGCCTGCACAAACTTTTCTTGCCAATTTTTTAACGTTTTTAAAGTTGCAGTGACATGAGAGCGAGGGTCTGCTGATGTTCATACGGTACAAACGCTCATTGACCATTTTTATAGAAAAGTCTCTAAACGTTTACTTCTCCTGAATTTTTCTTATATCTGTGACATCATTGCAAACAAACTGTCCTCTTGACAATTTTTAGATGCAAACCATGCTGACTCCGCCCACATTTGTCTCATATTCATTCCAATTTCAGAATCACTGCAATTACATTGAGAAAAGTTCCAAATGCCCAGAAAATGTCCGATTCATTAGAGAAACACTTTCTCACAAGTTTTCATACAAAGTTCTAAATCCCAGCAACACATCAGCGAAGGCTGAGACTCCCACAATGCTGCTGACAACCCTCGCACACACTTCAAAGATATTTTTGACCTGGTTAGAGATGCAAAACTGAGGACAAAAGTCAGATGGAATCACCCTGAATTTGTACTTATGATACATTTGCAACCATTAAACTACATAAAAACTGAGAGATTTGAATAAAATCAATTCAAATTAGCTTGTCTGGATTGTGTCTAAAAGAGTCTGAACTCCTCAACAGTCTACCTGGATTGTATTTGAAATTTTGTCACGCTCAGAAAATTAGATTCTCCTCTTTTGACTCCAGCTTAGTGTCGTAGGTCTCAGCTGGTTACAAAGGCTGTAACTCTTTGTGACTCATGGAAACCAAAGGGAGAAACGATCCGGACCAGAATTTCATTTTAAGAAGAAGGCCTCGCGACTCACACAAGGAAAACCAGAAATGCTGGTAGGTATTGTCACATCCCAGTGAGATACGGGTTTTAGAGGATTTAAGCATCAGGAGCAGACTGGCTGGTGTCACCTTCACATAAATCACAAACAGCTGCTACAGTCTGAGCTCCATACTTAATGCACAGAAGGGAGTCATGTCAATCTTTGTATTTAATACTTAAGACACTAAATGACTGTTTACAAGATGTCTTACTGCAGCTCTAAGGTTCTGTACCTAAAATAGTTTATACATCAGCACGTTACACCTGTAGAAATAACAGTACGTTTGCTTGTAGAAGGACTCAAGAGAAAGGCGACATACATTCACACGTTGAAAGTTCCCTAGAAATGGTTATGCAAATGGTAGAAAAGCTTTGGCATATTTTGCCTACAAGTTGTGCCTGCACACTTGGAAAGAAGAGCGAAGATAAGGGGGTTCAGAACTTCCCGCGGCTCTAACCTCAGTTTACTCGCTGAGTCAGCACTCCCACATAAAACTGTGGTGAGTTCAATTACCTGCACTACATGCCAAACCCATGGTCTTTGATGTCGTTAGGCCCGAGGACTTTAAAGTGGTCATTTGCTACATTTTCCCAAGCACTGAAACTGAATGGTTCCACCTTCAGGGTGACTGAAAGCCACAGATTAGACTAGCTAAGGAATCCAAGGTACCAACAGAGAACAGAATTATCTGATGATGTACAGGTAAAGTCAGGATTAAAATTAGGTCAGGATTAGGGTTAGTTCAGGATTAAAGTATATTCAGGATTAGAGTTATGCCAGGATTAGGGTAAAATCAGGAATAAGGTATATTCATGGTTAGAGGGTTAGGATTAGGGTTAACATGTAGATTGGGTACCAGACTGAGCGCCTGTGATGATGATTCCAGGACACACCTGAGTCTAACTCATCCACTTTAGTCCACAGCCTTTCTGGGCTTTTTAATCCTAATCCAGACCGGCTTCAGGAGATCTTCTATATTACTGAATTATTCTGCTGAATCACAATCAAAAAGCAACGTCTCAGTTTTATTAGATGGTTTCCACCTAAATGGCTGCAGTGAGATTAATATTTCCTCCACATCTGTAGCTGCAGTGACCACCAATCCTCGCTCATACTAAGAGGAACAACCGGATTATTACGGAGTTCTGAGGACCAGCGGGTCTGATGCAACAAAGAATAATGATCAGAAACAGGCATGACCTAAACAGGAACATCACGTCCTGTAAATGTGTCTCAGGAAGCCCCTGCGACCGGAGGAAGGCGCTCCACGGAGATAAGCAAACACATTTGCCCCAAATTAGGGCAACTTCCCATGGTGGAGGCTTGGGGGGTGGGGGAGACCGAGGGCCTTCATAAGTTGAATAATTCAGATGACCCCAATGGATTTGGCACAAAGTAAAGGGAGGTGCCTCCAACAAAATACTGTCCTACCCAGAAGTCCAGGGATGGAGACTGCTCGGGATGTGGTCATGCTTGTGGAGCGTTCCGGTTATGAACAACACCTCAGAGGAAGTGGTACCTTATCGTCATGCTATAATGTTACATTGCATAGAAATTAGAGCTTACTCTAGGGCAATAGAATAGTTGGCAGGGACTCTCTAGGAATCTGCTTCATTTATGCCGTACCAGAAAGATGCTACAGAAAGACAAAGATAAGGAACATTGGGAGATCTGTCTTGGGTCCTCCCCTGTGCATGTTCTCTGCTCCTGGCTACAGCAGAGAGGAGCGGTGAGAACCGGCATGGCATAAACGCTGCAGCAGCCAGACAGGCCTGCCATTGTCTTTGTGTGGGCGACACGGCGCTAGCAGCTGCCTGGAGAGGAGCACACAGAGCCACACATGCTCAGTTTGGAGGAGGACTTGGGCTCTGGATCGTGCTCGGCCTCAGGCTCCGGCTCTGGCACTTCCTCATCCGTGGCCCCAGCTTCCGCCTCTCCGTGCCCGTCTCCGGTGGCGTCATCGCCCCCGGCCTCCGACTGACTCTCATCCTGACGTCTTTTCAGCCTCAAACACACAAAACAAATGTTTAATCACTTTTCTTTTACTTATTAATTACTGATGATTCAACGGAGAAATCAAACAGTAACTATAGAAGCAGCTTTGCTGATGACATCATGCTGTGCTTTTCACTGCTGGGCATTATTTTAGATATGATGACTTTGTTAGAAATGGAAGAAGATTGTCATTAATTAGTGTGATAATCTAATCTAATACGATTCTGCCACAGAGACAGAGCTCATAGCTGCAGTGGAATGACCTGCTCAATAATTAATGAGACGACAACCGAGAGCAGAACAGAACCAACATAAATCTCTGTTCATGTAGAGAAGAACGCTGCATTTATCGTCTGGCGCTCATTAGAAACTGTGTTTGTCTCCAGATGTTGGAAAATATTTAGAAATGAAGAATCAGCCTTGGTTTAAAGGTTCAGTCAGACATTTATGCTTATTTTGGGAATAAAAACATTAATTTAGATCATTTAGTGATTTGAATAGAACGTTTGTTAACCCTCCTGCATTGTTAATGGGGTTTTATTTATTTATTGTTTAAGGGGTGGACCACTTCTCCCTTGCTAATGGATCAACCATGTTTAACCACCCCCTGTCCTGGAGGGGTCACCTGACAGGACAATGGAAGGGTTAAGAGGATAATAGTGAAGGCTCTAGGCTGAGTTTTTACTTTGTAAACAAGATACAACAAAAGGCCAACATAATGACACGTCTACAGCACTATTAGACCCTCATTTCTAAAGCCCCCTTCAGATAGGCCATGAAAAACGGAAATGTTCCGGAATCTGTCCGTAAGACCTTTCTGTCTGAATACAAACATCCGGATAACGTGTTCCGGAATTTATCCGGACGAAGCCCCTAGTAACAGGTCCGGACTTGTTACGGACAGGGTGGCTGCTTCAGACTGGTGAGGTAAAGTTCCGGACAAGGGGGAGGGGGAGGAGGAGGGGACCAGGGGACGCTGTGTGCACCTAGATAGCCCGCTGCTGTAGCATGCAGCGAACCACGGCAGCTCGCCTCCTACCGTACCGCCTAGACGCGCGACGGAGCGCTTCACACCGCTTCAGTGATTCCTTTAACCACTGAGCTTCATCATCCAGGTCTCTTAAGCGCCTCGTGATTTTTATCTTGAGGGGCGCTATAGAAATGATATTTTCTTCTTCTTCTTCTTAACATAAGTCCGATTCTCCCCCACCCCCCACCCCACCCCCGCCGCCGTCAGACATCTGGAACTTTTCCCTGCTGTGTGAACGCAGCCGAAAGGACAAGTTCCGGTACAAAAGTGGTGTGTCTGAAAACACAGTTCCGGTTAAAAACCGGATTGAATTGTCCGCAAATGTTCCAGAATGTCAGTCTGAAAAGGGCTTAAAGTTTATCAGCAAAAACAAGTAGATCTGGGAGGGACTTACTCTTTAATGTCAGCCTGTTTCATCCAGTCAGAAACCAGCTCTGGTGTGTTTGGGGTCGTCATTCTGGTGGGTCCCTGACTATGGAACAACCTTACTCTGCAATTTGGGAGCCTAAGTCCCGCCCATCTTCTTCCGGACCACAGGTCCCCGGAAGAACAAAAAAATAAATGCAAGTCAACGGGGCTAAAAACGCTTGTGTTGTGCCATGGATTTCACACATGATGTCCGTGATCTTTAAAGACACATTTTTGAACGGGGAAATGTTATTTTAGGTTTTGTGTGAAAATAAGTCCAGGACTACAAATGCGCTTCATGAAAGTGATGTCATCGAACCAGACACGGAGAAAACTGAGGGAAAAGGGCTGGAAGTTCAGCAAACTTCCCACAGGGGGAAAGAACCACCATAAATCAGGTCACGTGGAGAGTAGCAGCTACGCTAGGGGGGAGGAGATTATGTGGTGACGTCACATATGCGACGTGCTGATTTCTAGTTTGTAGTCATGTTAATTACAAACTTTTACAAGCTGATAAATCTCAAAATACGTGACTGGCGTGGTGGAAACACCCATCATTAGTTTTCATTTAAATTGCAGTACAGCATGTGTGTGATCCAGGGCGTAAGGCGGAGCAGGTTAGAAAATAGCGTTTTTAGCCCCGTTGACTTCTATTCATTTTTTCGTTCTTCCGGGGACCCGTGGGCCACTCGATAAGGGAGGAGACTTAGGCTCCCTGTAATGATGGCTGAGTCTCTGAATGAGTTTAAAGCTGCTTTCCGGAGTTTTCCCATTTCAGAAATGATGTATGATTTTTCAGAAATCCGTAAAAGTGATTGTCTCATCATGTACTGTGATAAAATGTAAGCAATACGTCTTTATTGTTGCTAACCACGCCCCCTGCCCCGCAGAGCTCTGTGCAATAGGAAACCGAGGTCCGACCAGAACTAACCAATAGCGTTAGACTACCGCTTACATGCTTCAGATGTAAGGAAAACCGCGGCTGATGCTGAGTTGATGAACTTTTCACAGACAAGTCTCTAAAATATAAATATATGAGAACACAACATGACACGAGAATAATACTCGTAAAACGTGTTTTAGCTGTTTGTTGCTACAGAAGCACATTTATAATCAGAAACGTGACGTCGCCATCTTAAACAAAGAGCAACAGAGTTTTTGTGTGATACGCTCGTCAGCCACTAGATGGTGCCATCGGATAAGAGAAATACTCCAGAAAGAGACTTTAAGTCTCTTTTAAAAACTCACCTTTTTAAGTCGGCTTTTAATCTCAGGTGTTGCTATTAGTGTTTTAATTTCTTTTATGTAGTCATTTTTACCCAGCCCTGTCTTGTATTTGTTTTATCCTGGTTACTGTGTTTCATTTGTTATCTTTTTAACTGTACAGCACTTTGGTCTCGTGTTTGTGGAAAGCGCTCAACAAAAAAAGGTTGATTGATTGGTGAAACAAGTTTCAGCCATCAAGCTGATGTTTGCAGGTGAAGCTGGAAAATCTGGAGGTGGTCCTCTTCCTCCTTTATGCACTAGAACCACATTATGATGCTAACACCTCCATGCTTGGCTGTTGGTGCATCCATCTTCTCACTGTAGCCAAACAGCTCAAACTTCATCTCATTCGACCCTTGAAGCTTTCTCCAGAAGACGTTTGTCTCGTCCATATGGACAGCTGCAGACTCCAGCAGCGGTTGAGGGTGTCTGTTCTGGAGCAGAAGGTTCTATCTTAGTCGATGTTAAGAGGTTACTGAGACTGGAAGGCCCAGTTGGTTTTAATAATTCTGGTCTGGCCTCAGATCCTGAGAGAATCTATGATTCTGAATTTATCATGTGAAGTGAGACGCTCTATGGAGGGGGTGGTGGTCTGCTAATGCTGTTTTACAGAAGGTTTCAATAGTATTCTTTATAATCTGAGCTCACAATTCTGCTCTTTAGGAAAAGTCAGCATGAGTTAGTGCTCCCAGTTACCAGGTAAAGTCACCTGGTTAATAAACGTTTAGGTTTAAAAAAGAACCCAGAACCCAGGATCTGATCCACGTAGAACCGGAGGTTCGTGGGCCAATCAGAGTCATGAAGCTGATGATCCAGCCACCATCATGATGCAACGAGCTGCAGCTGTAGGCTGTCATAACCGCATTACCATACCAATTTTATTTATATAGCACATTTAAACACGGCATGAGAGCCGACCAAAGTGCTGAACAAAAACACACAATTAAAAACAATCAAAAATAAAAACTAAATCCATTAAAATCAAGTAATCCAACTCGAAAAGAAAAGGAGAAAGGGAATAAGTTAGACAGAATTAAAAGCCAGAGAATAAAAGTGAGTTTTTAAACGAGACTTAAAAAGGGAAAGAGAGGAAGAGAGTCTGATCGGGAGGGGCAAGTGGTTCCAGAGCTTTGGTGCACATTATTAAAACTATGATCCCAAACAAAAGGTATAAAAACACAAATTCAGGAAATGTTTTGATTTTCTCAAACTGAATCAAAAGGTTTTAGAAGAGCCGAGAGGCAGGAAATCCCACTGTTAGCTCTTCCTGTAAACACGCCGACGTGTTCTTACTTTTCCCGGTTGAAAATCATGAACTCCTGCTGCACCGCGTCGAGGCACTCCTGCAGGTAGTCGTTCTCCTGCAGACAGAAGCCACCACACGTCACCATCATCAGTCCACCAATCAGCAACAATCAACACCAGAGGGTAAACCAAATCAGAGCCCTGACATCTGAGGCGAGGAGGTCTGCTCCTGCCCTTTTGTTTGTGAGCCCTCCTCAAATCAGATGTTTGGCTCGAGACAAAAATAGACGCTCATATTTCCAAAAGCACTCGGGGCCATGACAACGCAACAGAGGGCCTCATAATTTAATAATCTTAGTAATAATGTAGCTCTCTCTCACACACACACACACACACACACACACACACACACACACACACACACACACACACACACACACACACACACACACACACACACACACACACACCAGAAGCAGGAGAAACAGGGAAACTCCACACGTCTAAATGTTTGGATCCCATCTCAGCGCACATTAGGATGGATCAGGAAACAAGGATTTATCATAAATTCATTACTCTAACGGTTTCTCCATCATTTGGGACTCATCTGGTTTTAAAAGCCCGTTTGGTTCTGATCCAGTCGTTTTAATTAGAAGATGTTATACTGATGTTCTGATCGGTATCAGTGAGAGCTAAGGTCTATCAGGGTCACTGCTTCATCATGTTAAAATTACTTTTAATTAACTAAATAATCACCAGTGATTTCCACCAAACCTCCCTCCATTTAGGAGGGTAGACGGTGGCACAGGAGTTAAGTGCTCACCCCATAATCGGAAGGTTGCAGGTTCGAGCCCCACTCAGTCTGTCGCTGTCGTTGTGTCCTTGGGCAAGGCACTTAACCCACGTTGCCTGCTGGTGGTGGTCGGAGGGACCGGTGGCGCCAGTGCCTGGCAGCCTCGCCTCTGTCAGTGCTAGGGTTGTCACGGTATGAAAATTTAACCTCACGGTTATTGTGACCAAAATTATCACGGTTTTCGGTATTATCGCGGTATTTTTTAAACGGTGTTGCATATGTTCAGAAAGCATTGATAGTCCTGTTCTACACAAACTGAAATAGTTCTGAAAAGGTTTAACAGTGTTTATTAAACCTAAAATAACACAAAGCCTTAGCAAAAGTGCAACTTTTCACAAGTAAAGGAACAAATAGCTTATTTTTCTGGAACTTGTTACAGTAGTCAGTGCAGGTTTAAATTATACAAATCCAAACATTCAAAACATAAACAATATGTAAACAAATCAAAGAAACACCACTTGTTTTCTCATATACTTGTTTTCTTCATTATCAAAATGAAAATCTAAAACTCCAGTCCACACTTGACTTGAGCACTGTACAAGTCAACCTTAAAAAATATGTATTTAAAATAAATATCCACTTTAAACAAATTACTAAAATAACTACTACACTATGTAATCAAATCCAAATGTTCAAGTATAAATGGCATTGAATAAGTAAACAAATCCATGACAAGGAACTAATTGTATATTTCTCTTCATCATCAACAAATAAGATGCTTCATCCAGCAACAGGGTGTCCGTGACACGGTTTAAATGCTGGCAGAGGACGCTGCGGCTGCAGGATATAGTGACTCGTTGCATTCTCCCTCAACCAAAAGTCCTCACGTCATGCATTTCAGCTAAAATGCTAATGTTAACTTACCTTGCACTGGCTGTGGAGACGTGGGTGATCGTCACGCAGATGTGCCATGAGATTTGAAGTGTTGCTGCCTTCTGCAGACACTTGTTTCCTGCACGTTCTGCAAACGGGATAGCCGTCTTCTATTAACTGTCCCTCAGCATTTTTCAGAAATCCCAAATATGCCCATACTTCCGATTTAGTCTTCTTTGAGGGCTGATGGATGTCCTGGGCGCTGCCGTCGCCTCCTTCGGCCATTATTTCAGCTTCAAAGTTTTGGTGCCGTTGCAAATTAAAAAGTGCGTGTGCGCGCAGCGGGAACTTCAGCTGAAGCGACGGTGGCTGGTAAGGGTCATCGCGCCGAAACCGCGGCCACGGTAAACCCACCGAGATAATATAGTTTTTTAAAAACTGGACGGTTATTTTTATTGTCAACTTTTTTACCGGGGTTTACCGCTATACCGGTTACCGTGACAACCCTAGTCAGTGCGCCCCAGGGCAGCTGTGGCTACATTGTAGCTCATCCCCACCAGTGTGTGAGTGTGTGTGTGAATGGGTGAATGACTGATTGTGTTGTAAAGCGCCTTGGGGGGGGTTTCAAGAACTCTAGAAGGCGCTATATCAAATACAGGCCATTTACCATTTAGAGGTGGAGGCTCCGCCCCCAGATTACAGAAGCTTAAAATAAGAAAACCAAAAGAGGCATTTAGGATATTTTTCTAGAAACAACCTCCTGATTAAAGCTAAAATCCTGTTTGTCTTTTTAATACAGGTGCTGGCCAGTAAATTAGAATATCATCAAAAGGTTGAAAATATTTCAGTAATTCCATTCAAAACGTGAAACTTGTACATTATATTCATGCAATGCACACAGACCAATGTATTTCCAATGTTCATTACATTTAAATTTGATATTCATAAGTGACAACTAATGAAAACTCCAAATTTGGTATCTCAAAAAATTAGAATATTCTGAAAAGGCTGAATATAGAAGACACCTGCTGCCACTCTAATCAGCTGATTTACTCAAAACACCTGCAAAGGCCTTTAAAAGGTCCCTCAGTCTTGTTTTGAAGGCACCACAATCATGGGGAAGACTTCTGACTTAACAGCTGTCCAAAAGACAATCATTGACACCTTGCACAAGGAGGGCAAGACACAAAAGGTGATTGCTAAAGAAGCTGGCTGTTCGCAGAGCTCTGTGTCCAAGCACATTAACAGACAGGCGAAGGGACGGAAAAAATGTGGTAGAAAAAAGTGTACAAGCTCTAGGGATAACCGCACCCTGCAGAGAATTGTGACGACAAACCCATTCAAAAATGTGGGGGAGATCCACAAAGAGTGGACTGCAGCTGGAGTCAGCGCTTCAAGAACCACCACGAGGAGACTCATGAAAGACATGGGATTCAGGTGTCGCATTCCGTGTGTCAAGCCACTCTTGAACAAGAAACAGCGCAAGAAGCGTCTCGCCTGGGCCAAGGACAAAAAGGACTGGACTGATGCTGAGTGGTCCAAAGTTATGTTTTCTGATGAAAGCAAGTTCTGCATTTCCTTTGGAAATCAAGGACCCAGAGTCTGGAGGAAGAGCGGAGAAGCACAGAATCCACGTTGCATGAGGTCCAGTGTAAAGTTTCCACCGTCAGTGATGGTGTGGGGTGCCATGTCATCTGCCGGTGTTGGCCCACTCTGTTTCCTGAGGTCCAGGGTCAATGCAGCCGTCTACCAGGAAGTTTTAGAGCACTTCATGCTTCCTGCTGCTGACCAACTTTATGGGGATGCAGACTTCACCTTTCAACAGGACTTGGCACCTGCACACAGTGCCAAAACCACCAGCACCTGGTTCAAGGACCATGGTATCCCTGTCCTTGATTGGCCAGCAAACTCGCCTGACCTTAACCCCATAGAAAATCTATGGGGTATTGTGAAGCGGAGGATGCAATACGCTAGACCCAACAATGCAGAGGAGCTGAAGACGACTATCAGAGCAACCTGGGCTCTCATAACACCTGAGCAGTGCCACAGACTGATCGAGTCCATGCCACGCCGCATTACTGCAGTTATTGAGGCAAAAGGAGCCCCGACTAAGTATTGAGTGCTATACATGCACATTCTTTTCATGTTCATTCTTTTCAGTTGGCCAACATTAGAGAAACAAACATTTTTTCATTGGCCTTTAGAATATTCTAATTTTCTGAGATACCAGATTTGATGTTTTCATTGGTTGTCACCTATAAATATCAAAATTAAACGTAATAAACATCGGAAATACATTGGTCTGTGTGCATTGCATGAATATAATGTACAAGTTTCACGTTTTGAATGGAATTACTGAAATATTTTCAACCTTTTGATGATATTCTAATTTACTGGCCAGCACCTGTATGTGCTTCTGAACAACCTCAGTTGAAAGAAACAGATTCATTTGCCTGGATTGATGAGCTAACAGTTAGTCATAGGGATGTTCTGATGTCCTCCGAGCAGATTAGGATTACCTCACTAATCTGATCCTTGCTTTTACGTGACCGATCACAGAGCAGGGAGACAGTTTAGCAATCTCTTTGTGTGGGAGGGATTTGGAAGGAAGCAGCACACTAGCAGTTAGCTCATCAGTCCCAAAGGGTTTGAGGAGGGCCGTTATGGAAGCTCCAGGTGATAAATATTCATGAGTTTTACACAGAGACACAGAATATTCCTTTAATGAGTAAAGAGATAAAAACATGGTACTCACAGACTGGGAATCCTTGCTGTTATCCCGGGAGCGGTTCTTGGCCAGCCGTTTCTTCTTCTTGTGGAGAGGACGTGACTCAAGGATCATCTCCTCCAGTTCAAAGGTGGGGTCGCAGTGGAGTCTGCCTTTCTGTGTGTGTGTGTGTGTGTGTGTGTGTGTGTGTGGTAGTGGGGTCAAACCACAAAATCAGAAAAAACAAGCAGAGAGGAGGATCATTCTGCACGGCACAGCGTGAAAACACACAGGGATGTACAGCAAGTGTGCATGTGCGCGCACGCACACACACACACACACACACACACACTACAGCAGAAGCCATTAGGAAGCTGCCTTCCTCTCCCTTTGCATTATTTAGCTGCTACAAGTGCTCATTACAGTTAGTCCCCATGAAGGAGAGCTGGTGTGTGTTTGAAATATTTATCTGAAGTAAAACTGGATCTTTTTACATTTGGAACAAATCCAGGCTCCATCTTCTTCTCATACACAGCATCCCAGTTGATATCAGCGAGGTACGGAGAGGTCTGCATGTCAGAGAGGCTGGAAAAACGGTGCTCCGGGTTCACCGTCAGGAGCTGCAGGAGGAGAGACACACACACACACACACAGAGGCATACACACACACACACACACACACACACGCACGCACGCGTGTGCGCACACGCACGCACGCACGCACACGCACGCACGCACGCACGCACGCACGCACGCACGCACACACACACACACACACACACACACACACACACACACACACCTTAGGAGATGAAAGTTCACAGCTTTTCCCCAAACTCACACTCAGGCTCGTCGCTCCAGCAGGTGAAATAAAAAGTAACTTGTTAGATTTTACAGAAACAGAAAAAAAGATTTGTAGCCAGATTATAATCCAATTTAGACTGAGAGGGCATTTAAACCAGCTGATGTACTGAAAATGATTAACTGCTTCATGAATGAGATTGTATTTGTATAGCACCTTCTACAACCTAGCGGAAGCCCAAGGTGCTGAACACTAAAAAACAGACAGACATCACAACTATCTAAAGGATGAAAATAGCATTAGAACAATAAATAGATAAAACAGGTAAGAGTATTTAAAGTAACACCAAATAAAAATCAATAAAGCAACAAGCCAGTGTCAACAATCATGTTGGGGCAAAGTAAAAATGGGTTTTCAAGCCAGACGAGATGAAGTCTGTTTCACTGCCAGAGGGAGCTCTTTCTAAAGGGGAGGTGCTGTTACCGAGAAGATCCGGTCCCCCCTCCATCTCAGCTTAGAGCGTGGCCTCCAGCAACCCCTGCCCAGCATAAGGGCCCAAGAGGGGACACGCCTGTGTAACAACCGCTGCTAAGCTCTTCTAAAGAAAAACAAACTAGATCCCTCAGTGATGGATAGCTACACCTATCTTTAATCTCCCCTTCATTGGAAAAATTATGAAAAAGCAGTTATGATGCAGCTGAACCGCTTTCTGGAGATGAACAACCTGCTAGATGGTTTCCAGTCAGGCTTTAGACAACACCACGGCTCTGAGACTGCACTTGTTATGGGATTAAATGAAATTTGTGATATTACAGATTCAGGCAAAATATTTGCTACACAATAAATGACCCACACTTGTACAGCACCTTTCAGAGTCAGAGAACTCCAAAGCGCTTTACACTACAGTAATCATTCATCCATTCACACACTGGTGGTGATGAGCTACATCATAGCTACAGCTGCCCTGGGGCGCACTGACCCAGCCGAGGCTTTCCAAGCACAGGCGCCACCGGTCCCTCCGACCATCACCAGCAGGTAAGGTGGGTTAGGTGTCTTGCCCAAGGACACAACAGCAGCATTCTCTGGCAGGAGTTGGAATCAAACCTGCATAGTGGCGCAGTTGTTGGCATTACTGCCGCACAGCAAGAAGGTTGCAGGTTTGAAACCCGGCTGTGGCCTTTCTGCGTGGAGTTGCATGTTCCCCCGATGCATGCGTGGCTTTCCTCTGGGTACTCCGGTTTCCCCCCACAGACCACAGCATGCCCTATAGGTTAACACGTGTACGTCCCTTTGGATTAAAGCGTCAGCCAAATAAATAAACATAAACCTGCAACCTTCAGATAACTACAACCCGCTCTACCGCCGGAGCTACTGCTGTCCCTTTGTCCTGATGATGCTCCGTCTCAGTGGGGCTTTAGAGATTGTGGGCCTCAACATTCTTCTCGATAGGCTCATACCCTCGGTGGGACTTTCACACCACAGTCCATAGTTGGTTCCAATCTTAGTCTGCAAAATGCCTTGCTTGGATCTTCTGATATTTTTGTTTGGAAGAAATGATGGAAAACCACCCACGCTCTGTTTGCTCCGAGTGTGACAGGTGTGGTTCAGCTTACCTGCAACTTCATAATAATATTTATCAGCTTAGGCTGGGTATCCATCCACTACAGAACAACATGAGGGACAAGAATAAACTCCTGCAGAACTTCATGTCTGTGGCACTTGATCAGTCCAGGTGTATCTCCCACCTTCAGAATTCCCACGCTAACCAGCTAGTACTGTCACCTTCCTCCAGGCTGTCCCAGGCCCCTGTCTGACACTGCCGCAACTCTACCACTGACAACGTCAACATCAACCAGTGCCGGACAAAACAATGGTTCGATTCTCTGCACAGCGGGAACTGCAGAGACATTCCTGTCGAATTAATTGAGAAGGCTGCGGGTCACAGCTCCGATGTTCCTGCTGAAGTGGCTCAGCACTGGGCCCTTCCTCCCACGACCTCTGGGACGATTCCGATCCCGATGGATGGTGAGTGGGCATGGATGGGAGCGAAACCCAGGAACCGGGTCTTCAAGTCTACACCGGGCCAATCTGGTTCACTTGGTTGGAGGTGGCTCGTAAGGGTCGGCCAACTGACGTAGGGCTGCTCTTTGAGGCAGTAAATCATTGGCGTTCTGGAGCTACTCATCCAGAAAACTGTAATTTGGATGAGGCTGGGCTTCAGCTCCAGACTGATGTTGGAGCCCTTCCTGATACCATTCATTCTCCACCAGAAGCTGCGGTCCAAAGATCAGCTGGTCTTAGAACATGCCCATCCTGGTAAAGCTTCGACTACTTTGATCTTTGGATGTTCTGTGGTGTGACATGTCCATCTGTCTGCTGCAAAAACTGCTATCCTGGTGCACGAGTACTGGATATGGAGTCCAAAATCCCTCTTCTGCTGGATCCTTCGGCCTCATCTGTTGTGGTACCTGCAGGACACAATGACCTGAGGAACATGCTGATTGGCACTGTCCTGCAATCAAACCGGCAACTCATCATCTCCGGCCCACTGCCCTATCACAGTTTCGGAGATGTCAAGTTCAGTTGTGTTCTTCAGCTCCACACATGGCTGAAGGGCTACTGCTGCCAACTTGTCATACCATTCATCGATAACTTCATGGCCTTCTTTAATCGCCCTGATCCTATTTAACTGATGGGGTTCTTCCAAACCACCAAGGGTCCCGCCTCCTGATCATGAACATGGAGCTTCCTCTAATTTTGTCCAAAAGGGACTTGAACTGATGCTGGATGAGTCTGATCCACATTAATTATCTTCAGTGTGTCACAGATCCTTGTCATCATCAACAACAGGCCCCAACAGTCATTTTCCTGTGATATGTAGAAGCCCAAAACATTTGCATTTGATTCCAATAAGTATTCAGGTGCAGCCCCCTGCCCTGTCTGCGTCTCAGAAAAATAAACAAAACAGTACCTTGCGGATCAATGGGACCACTGTTTCCACTATCCTTTCAAAGGATTCAGGATCCAGGCGGCGGTACTGTCAGAAGCATTCTGGGTTTTCCAGGCACATCTCTTGGAGTAGATTGGCATAAACTCCCTGCCTGGCCCTTCTTTCCAGCCACCGTACCCATACTTTTCTAACCTTGAAATGGCGGTGATGTCTCATCAACAAAAAAAGCAGAGGCATTTCCTCCGTTTCCAGCTCTGTCTCTGTTTTGTTTGTTTTCTGACTTGCAGACGGGGCTGCCATCTTGGGGTCATGTGAGCGGAGAACGCACTTTGATTGGCCACTAGAATATTTCAGCTCAGCCAGCAGCTCACGTAGTGCACACATGCCAAGTTTTTACCACCCGTGTGGCGGAAAATATCCAACCGGTCAGATATTCACTTCAGCGTCTCGTAAGGCAGAAATCTCAGTGAAAATCTGGTGCACACGACGAGGTGTCTGCTGAGCTAACAGCCATTTGAGGCCGTTTGCTCAGCAGTTTGCTCTCGTGTGCGGCAGGCTTTAAAGGCTGCTTATTAGAACTGAGATCCTGGATCTGAAAGCCTTCTAGACTTTAACCAAAGTCAGACAGAGCTGCTAATGACTGGTTCTTCATCGAATGCTAAAATGAGCCATGAGCTCCTTGGCTGTTTTGCTGAGTTTAGGAAATCACGCGTCTGTTATTTAATTCTGTTTTTAGGACTTTATTGTTATTAGTTTTTAATGTTTTCTGCTTACATTAAGCACTTTGGCTACAGCTATTAGCTGCTGTAAATGTGCTATATAAATAAAATTGACATTGACATTGACATTGTGGGGTCCCCCCAAGGCTCAGTTCTTGGACCACTGCTCTTCAATCTCTACATGCTCCCCCTGGGTCAGGTCATACACAATAACAACATTACCCATCATAGTTATGCAGATGACACCCAGATCTACCTAGCTTTATCACCTAGTGACTGTGATCCTCTACACTCACTCTGTCTGTGTTTGCAGCAAGTTAATGACTGGATGCAGTCAAAATTCCTCCAGTTAAACAAAGACAATACTGAAGTTATTGTCTCTGGAAGTCAGAAGGATGAAGGTTACTGCTCAGCTTGGCTCCAGAGGAATGAAGACAAAGACTCAAGTTAGAAATCTTGGAGTCTTAATTGAGTCAGACCTGAACTTCACTGGTTACATTAAGGCTAGAACTAGACCAGCGTTTTATCTTCTGCATCAAACAGCACGACTCAGAGGTCTCATGTCCAGATAAGGCCTAGAGAAACTCATTCATGTGTTCATCTACAACAGGCTGGACTATTGCAATGGTCTTTTGTCTGATCTTCCCACAAAAAGCTGTGAAGCAACTGCAGCTTATTCAGAATGCTGCTAGAGTCTTAACAAGAACCAAGAGAACGGAGCACATCACTCCCGTTCTTAGATCCCTACACTGGTTACCAGTAAACTACAGAATCAAATTCTAAGTGCTTCTACTAGTTTATAAATCACTCAATGGCATGGGGCAAGACCACATGTCAGATCTCCTTCAGGTATCTACACCCAGCAGGGCTCTGAGATCCTTGGGAAACAGTCAGCTGGTAGAACTGGGTCAGAACCAAACAGGTGAAGCTGCTTTTAGCTACTATGCTGCTCAGATGGAACCATCTTCTTCGTGACCTCAGATGTGCCCCAACTCTAGAAACTTTTACATCAAAATTAAAAACCTTCATGTATTCATGAGTCTTTGAATTACTGTTTCGTAAGCTGCACATTCTGCACTGGAACTGCTCACCCTTTCACTTTGTCTTTTAAATGTATTTACATCTAAATTTATTTGTGTATTTTAACTTTGATTTTATAATCAGCTGTTTTATGTTGTCACGTTGTTTTATGATGATTTATGTTTTTGTTGTTCGTGCACCTGGACAGCACTCTGTGTCTGTGTGTGAAATGTGCTGTTCAAATGAAGCTGCCTTGCCTAGATTCTTTTCTCTGACTGTTATGTTAATCATCCAGATTTTTATTATTAATAACAACAGCAGATTTATTATTCCTAAAATGTTCCACATGTTCCGTTTTACTCCTCAGGGAAAACTCTGGACATAATAATTAAATGTGAATTTTCTGGTCCTGTCATTTGTTTGCTATATTTGGTCTCAGCGTGATTCATTGATTCTCTGGGGGGGTGGGGGGTGTCAGTAATCGATCAGCAGCAGAGCGGAAGGGACCATCTCCCTGTCCAGAACTCTTCATTATGCATCGATGCTCACGCCATGTCAAAAACATCTTCCTGCATAGTCGCCGTCCTTCAGAGGTTAAATGGAACGTCTGCTTTTATAAACAAATTTTGATAGAGGGGACAGTGATGTTGTCCTCTAATATCAGAGAGGAAATTATGTCATTTTAGGATCATTTATTTAGTTTGACAAAGAGAGACTGGTCTTGGTTGACCCCCCCCCCATCCATGATTATAGCAGATTTAATGTGTCTGTTGTTTAGTCCTCACACATACGGACGGACAGAGGTCGTCGTCTCTCGTCTACATTTCCATTACTCCGATTCTGAGCTTTTTCTCTTTTTGCCTCGAGATTTTTCCACCAAACGCATCGTCTCCTCGTTCCACGTCTGTCCAGGCTGGACAGTCTGGCTCATACGGGAGGGTAAAAGCAACCATGTTTCATTACTTCTGCATTGTTGCAGCCTAAACCAGAAACATTTAACAAAAAAGCATCTTTCAACACTTTTAAAACGAGCAAAAGGAAAAATGAATATGTGAAATTAAATAAAGACACTGAATAGCATCTTTATCATCTCCTATGGGTGAAAAGCCACATTTTCAAAATTTCAGCTCCCATTTAATGAGTTAAGTTTTCTCTTTACACACAAACTTTTCAAATACTGCAGAGTATTTTATTTATTTATGAGCATCATTGTAGGTTTTCACAATCTGGCTCCTAAAGCTACAAACTTCTGGCTTCAAACAGGCTTATAGGAAGTGAGGAAGAGGATCTTTTGTCACTAAAATGAGGAAAAACTACATATTTAAGACACTTAAAGACTAAATTGCAGCATTAAATTTAACAAGGATGTAAAAAACCAATTTGTAGAATGCTTTTGCAAAAGGAGTTGATTCCATATTCTCTCCCAGATTCAGGTCTCCAGCTGGTGAAGATGCTGAAGGAGCTTCCAGCACATGACATGAGATCAGTGTTACAGTTTTAAATCCAGCTCACCTTCCTCAGGAGAGAAACCAGATCCTTGGGCCAGGCTGGGCTGTACTGGACACTCATGGTACTGAAGAGCTGGGTCAGGGATTCCACAGAGTTACTGGCATGGATGTCGTATGGTCTCTGGGGAACGAGTGACGGGTAGGAGAGGAGATGAAGGTCTGGATCTACACAAGTTTAGATTTTGGTATGGGAAAACAATAACGTGTTCATTCCTCACCCATCCACGCAGCACCTCAAAGGCTGTGACCCCTAAAGACCACCAGTCCACCTCAAAGGCGTACCCCGTACCCCCGCTGATGAAGGACTGGAAGATCTCTGGAGCTGCAAACACATCAGAAACATGATTTGAAGTCATGAAAACTTCCCAACAGTTGTGTTTAAATAAGACAAAGCAGCGAAAATGCACATGCGCTGTTCTGCTAGAGAGCAAAATTCATGGTTTCATTAGGCAGAGCAGCCCCAGACCATCACACTACCACCATCATACCTGTTTGACTGTTGTTTCCATGTTGGCTTGACTCATCAGTCCAGAGGACATGTACCCTGAAGCTTTGGGATTATCGAGATGTTTTTGTGTGTTTTTTAGTCAGCAAAGATTTTGTATATTAAATTCTTGGATGGAGGATTGTTACGGATTTTTACTTTTTGAGATTGCTGAGCCTGCTTCTTGTTGTCAGACGGGTTCTACTGAAGTGACTTTGTCTACAGGTCTGGTAGTGATTAGGTCTGGTTATGGCTGGTTGAGCTGGAGTCAGCTTTAACCCAGTCTGGTAGATTTGTGATTGAAATGGTTTTCAGATGAAAAACATAGCAAAAAATCTTATTTTACTTCAATTCTGTTTGAATGCAGAATGATCAGATTCTGTTTTTCTTTAAACATTAGATAGTTACCCATGTAGGGCTTGGTTCCAGCCAACGCGGTGGCTCTCTCTCCATCCTTTATTATTGTTGCTATGTTGAAGTCTGTCAGGTGGGCGTGGCCTAAAGTATAGAGAAAAAAACATATCAAATATGAAAAGAACCTCTTTCTGCCAGCTGCAGAATGAGTTCATGTTCTTACCGTGTTCGTCTAAAAGGATATTATCGGGCTTCACATCTCTAAGAGACAAAGAGACAAATAGAAGAGAGTCAAATCAAAACCTAAAAACAAAGCAAATACGTATTTCACTGTAAAACTTAAGTTATCTTAACAGTTTTTTTACTAAAGTTGGAGAAAACCATGTTTAAAGTAATAGTTCATACCTTTAGAAGTCTCTGTAAATAACCTGAAAATTCTATGTAAATAACCTGAAAATTCCATGTAAATAACCTGAGAATTCCATGTAAATAACCTGAGAATTTTATGTAAATAACCTGAGAATTCTATGTAAAAAAAGGTAGATTTCCATGTGAGAATTCCATGTAAAACCCTGAGAATTCCATGTAAATAACCTAAGAATTCCATGTAAAATAAACTGAGAATTCCATGTAAATAACCTGAGAATTTCATGTAAAAAAACAGAGGACTCCATCTAAATAACCTGAGAATTCCATGTAAAAACCTGAGAATTCCATGTAAAAAACCTGAGAATTCCATGTAAAAAAAACTGAGAATTCCACGTAAAAAATGAGAAATCCATGTAAATAGCCTGAAACTCCATGTTAAAAAAACTGAGAATTCCATGTAAATAACCTGAAAATTCCATGTAAATAACCTAAGAATTCCATGTAAATAACCTGAGAAGTCCATGTAAATAACCTGAGAAGTCCAAGTAAATAACCTGAGATTTCTATGTAAAAAAACTGAGAATTCCATGTTAAAAAACTGAGGTTTCCATGTAAATAACCTGAAAATTCCATGTAAATAACCTGAGAATTCCATGTAAATAACCTGAGATTTCCATGTAAAAAAATGAGAATTCCATGTAAATAACCTGAGAAGTCCATGTAAAAAACCTGAGAATTCCATGTCAATAACCTGAAAATTCCATGTAAATAACCTGAGAATTCCATGTAAAACAAACTGAGAATTCCATGTAAATAACCTGAGAATTTCATGTAAAAAACAGAGAAATTCATGTAAATAACCTGAGAATTCCATGTAAATAACTGAGAAGTCCATGTAAATAACCTGAGAATTCTATGTAAAAAACCTGAGAATTCCATGTAAAAAAACTGAGGTTTCCATGTAAACAACCTGAAAATTCTATGTAAATTACCTGAGAATTCCATGTAAATAACCTGAGAATTCCATGTAAAAAAATCTGAGAATTCCATGTAAATAGCCTGAGAATTCCATGTAAAAAACCTGAGAGTTCCATGTAAATAACCTGAGAATTCCATGTAAAAAAACCTGAGAGTTCCATGTAAATAACCTGAAAATTCCATGTAAATAACCTGAGAATTTTATGTAAATAACCTGAGAATTCCATGTAAAAAAAACTGGGAATTCCATGTAAATAACCTGAGAAGTCCATGTAAAAATACCTGAGAATTCCATGTAAATAACCTGAAAATTCCATGTAAATAACCTGAGAATTCCATGTAAAAAAACTGAGATTTCCATGTAAACAACTGGAGAATTCCATGTAAAAAACTGAGAATTTCATGTAAAAAACTGAGGATTGCATGTTTAAAAAACTCCAAGAAATCCATGTAAATAACCTGAGAATTCCAGGTAATAACCTGAGAATTCCATGTAAATTACCTGAGAATTCCATGTAAAACATGACAATTCCATGTAAATAACCCAAGAATTACATGTAAATAACCTGAGAATTTCATGTAAAAAACACCTGAGATATCCATGTAAATAACCTGAGAATTCCATGTTAAAAACCTGAGAGTTCCATGTAAATAACCTGAGAAGTCCATGTAAAAAAAAACTGAGAATTCCATGTAAATAACCTGAAAATTCCATGTAAATAACCTGAGAATTCCATGTAAAAATCTGAGATTTCCATGTAAACAACTGGAGAATTCCATGTAAAAAAAACTGAGGATTCCATGTAAAAAACTGAGGATTACATGTTTAAAAAACTCCAAGAATTCAATGTAAATAACCTGAGAATTCCATGTAAATTTTCAGAGAATTCCATGTAAAAACATGAGAATTCCATGTAAAACACACTGAGAATTCCATGTAAATAACCTGTGAATTTCATGCAAATAACCTGAGATTTCATGTAAAAACACCTGAGAATTCCATTTAAATAACCTGAGAATTCCATGTTAAGAAAACCTGAGAATTCCATGTAAAACAACCTGAGATTTCCATGTAAAAACCCTGAGAATTCCACGTAAAAAATAAATGAGAAATCCGTGTAAATAGCCTGAGAATTCCATGTAAAAAATCTGAGAATTCCATGTAAATAACCTGAAAATTCCATGTAAATAACCTAAGAATTTCATGTAAATAACCTGAGAATTCCATGTAAAAAAACAGAATTCCATATAAATTACCTGAGAATTCCAGTAAATTACCTGAGATTTCCATGTAAAAAACCTGAGAATTCCATGTTAAAAAAACTGAGAATTCCATGTAAATAACCTCAGAATTCCATGTAAAAAACAGAGAATTCAATGTAAATTTCCTGAGAATTCCATGTAAAAAAACCTGAGAATTACATGTAAATAACCTGAAAATTCCATGGAAAAAAACAGAGAATTCAATGTCAATTAACTGAGAATTCCATGTAAAAACCCTGAGAATTTCTCCAAAATGGCTGTTCAATAAGTATTTCATAGGAACATCAGAACTGTTGACATTAACCTTTAAGTAACTGAAAATCACAGAGAAGGATGTTTTAATGCCGTTTTCTGTTGTATTTTCATCCATGATTGGATTTAGTTTTCTCATAAATCTGTTTGACTCATTTCCAGACTCCTGACCAGCCAAGCAGTGGTTTTAGTAATAAACCTTAGTGAAAACATTATTTGTGGCTGTTGTGGTTCATAATAACTAAAAGTGTCTGATTTGCTCCTGATATAAGTGGCGAACACGTTGTGAAACCAGCTGCCATGGCTCTGCGACCACGTGCGGCGGACTGGGATTAGAGATCCCGTCTGTAGATGTGAAGACTCGTGGGAGGTGTTTTATGCTGATTCGTGTGTGAGTCACTGTTGGTGCAACATTGTGTGTCAGTAAGAGGAGAGAGGGACAAGGTTCTCTGACTCGATACATTTCAGAGGGAACGAGAACGCAACATATGCTGTTTTCCCTGGAGGTTTTCCTGCTTATTACACAAGGAATGCGTGTGACGGACACACCAGCTCCTCCAACGCTCCACCGGCCCGTACCAGAGCGCGCACGGCTTACGCAACTACCCAGCATGTTCTGCTGCAGCAGAAGACCTCATGAGGCCTGCAGAAGCCTCTTCTCGTAGAACATTAACATGAGAAACCTTAATCTGAGGCTAAAACTCCTGCAAGAAAAGCTATCAAACCACTTCTGGTGTGTGGAACCCAATGGAGTCCAAGTTTCAACCAGCTGATAATGTGAGGTGAAAATGAGGATTCTGAAGGGGGGACCACCTTTGTGCACCAGAACCACATCATGATGCTACCACCTCCATGTGTGACAGGTGAGACCGGCTTCTACTCACCATCTCCTCTGGAGCAAAGGGTTCTCATCCTCTCAGCCCAGTGGGACCCGGTGTTCTGGTTCACAGTGGGACCCGGTGTTCTGGTTCACAGAAGGCTTGAGCTTCTGCGGCCCCTGAGTTGTTCCTAAATCCTTCTTTCAGATGCGTTCCCTGTGCTAAGAGGGCTGAAGATCTAGCAGAGTTCCTCTAAGAATCCCAGAGTTCTGGTTGTACAACAATATCAGCATGAGCTTGGTGTCTAGAAAAAGTTTTTTTGAACGTCATGTTTAAGGACCCCAGACACATTTACTGCATAAAACTGACTTCATGTAGCTGTGAGATGACAAGGGCACCCTTCTATTGTTCAGAGACATATCTGAAGCAGGAACAGCTTAATGACAACGAGAGGAGCTTTAAACACACAGAAGGAACCCGAGGAGACGAAAACAGAGCAGAAAGAGACCTTCCGCTTCCACTCCCCTTTGTTTAATAGGACTAATTTTACCTCCTTGGGCATGGTGACAGCAGACTGTTGCTAGGAGACCAGAGATCCTTCTTTCTTCAGTTGGTGCAACAAAATAATTGTATGGTATCCTACTGTCAAAAATTGGAAACTGAAACAAGAGAGGGATCTGGGGAGGCCATGGATACTCGGGCGGAACATCAAAATGTCTTTGACCGGATTTAATGACACTTCAAACAGGAAACCAGGAGATCGATGCTGAAATACACACATGTAGAAATATATAATATCCATAAATCACAGCTCTTATCTCAGACATCTGTTCCATATCTGTTAAATTCACCTTCGCCCAATGTGCAGGTGTGTGTGTGTGTGTGTGTAGGTGTGTGTGTGTTTGTGTGTGTGTGTGTGTGTGTGTATGTGTGCATGTGCGTGTGTGTTTGTGTGTTTATGCATGTGTGTGTGTGAGTGTTTATGTGTGTGTTTGTGTGTGTTTATGCGTGTGTGTGCGTATGTGTTTGTGTGTGTGTGTGTTTATGCATGAGAATGTGTGTGTTTATGCGTTTGTGTGTGTGTGTGTGTGTGTGTGTGTGGTATATATGTGTAACATATGTAGAAATACAGACCACAGATGTCGACCATACATGGAGGGTTTCATCTGTCTTATTGAATTTCTATCCAATCCTCCATCGAATTATCGAATATTCTATTTAACGACGTTTCAAGTGAAAAACGATTATGGTCTGCTGCTAAAAATATAAAAATAAAACAACTAAATTATAAAAGGACCAACAATGCTTATTAAATTGGTGTCTTCTAGTTTCCTCCTCAGCTGATATTTACTTTAATTTAATTACTCATCCTTGTCCAAAAATAACTAAATAAATTCACATATGATCAGTAGAACTGAATTATGTTATTAACGTGTTCAGCAGTAAGCTCCTGGAAATGCTAACTAACCTTCTTAAATAAAATGCTAACAATTAATTGCTACATGTAATGGTGACACATCTATTTATTATGTATAGGTTGGCAACCTAATCCAGTCTAAGTTGTAATTCAATATAGAAGCG